TCATCTTTTTGTTTCATCCACGGCTTCTTTTGCATGGGCATTGGTGGACCATGCCCTGTTCGTTGGTTTTGTGGGTTCAGGGCGTAGGGCTCTACATCTGTCAACCCAGCTTTGGAATTAGGTTTGTAGAGCCTGGCCTGAAAGAACCTAAAGACCCTGCAAATCCCTAAACCCTGAAAGCTGAAGCTACAAGCTCTTACATCCCTAAACCGGACCTAACCCTACAACCCTACAAGCGCCGTAAACCACAAGGCCTTTATGGTGTTAGGGCTTGGGCTCTAGTGTCTAGGGTCTCGGGCTTGGGGTCCTATATGCCGAACCCTACTTGGAGGTTTGATGGTACTTATTAACCAATTATATCTGTGCTTATGACTGTACCTATAGCCACATTAGGGCACTTAAGGGGCTTGTAAGTGGGTTCTAAGTACTGTTATAATTGGTTAAGAAGTACCATGAACCTCCAAGTACGCCCGAGGTGTCGGCATGCATGCGCACCTGCTGCAGCTCCTGCTTCGTCTCGACTACAACAACTACTTCTCCGGTACGGAGGCACGACACTGTGGAACCCCCAACAGGGTTTTGGGTTCTGGGTTTGGGTTTAGGGTATCTTCTTGAGGGGCTGTGAAACCCCACACTGAGTTTGGGGTTAGGATCTATCTATTTCGTAGGCTGTGTTTGGAAGCAACTCCCGGCCACACTGTCCAGATACCACTCGCCCTAGACCCCATTATGGGTTTCCGACCATTAGAGGTACATTTTTGTGATTGTTTTTTTTGTTGTTTTGTGTTTCGTTTTTTTGGTGGGGGGGGGGGGGGGCGGAGGGGAGTGCAAAGAAGGGCCGGCGGCAAACCGAGTCCCAACCTGAACCCTGCAAGCCCTGAACCGGGTCAAGCATAGGTTTTCGTTCTTACGGTCCGTAAACCCTAAACCCTAAACCCCAAGCCCTCAACCCTCAACCCTAAACCCTAAACCCTAAACCCTAAACCCTAAACCCCCCTAGTCTGACGCCCGGCCAGAGGCTCCGTGAAGCGACGTGGCGCCAAAGATATGCGAAGCGTCTGCTGTCTACGGGCTCCCGGAGGCGCGACGGCTTGGGTTTAGGGTTTAGGGTTTAGGGTTTAGGGTTTAGGGTTTAGGGTTTAGGGTTTAGGGTTTAGGGTTTAGGGTTTAGGGTTTAGGGTTTAGGGTTTAGGGTTTAGGGTTTAGGGTTTAGAATTAGGGTTTAGGGGTTTAGGGTTGAAGGGTTTAGGGTTTAGAATTAGGGTTTAGGGGTTTAGGGTTGAAGGGTTTAGGGTTGGAGGGTTTAGGGTTTAGGGTTTAAGGGTAGGGTTTATAGGGCTCAGGGTTGAGGGCTTATAGATCCCAACCCCTATATCCTTCAAGCCCCGGTGCCGCCAAAACCAACCATTCAGCCCAGAAGAGAGTTTAGGGTTTATTGGTTTAGCGTTTGTAGGGTGTGTAAGGTTTTAGGGTTCAGGGTTTATGGGATTTAGGGCTTTAGGGTCTAGGGGTTTCGGGGTCGGGTGTAGGGGTTACGGGTCGCTGGGGTTCGATTCGGGATAAGGGCTTAAAACAAGAACTGTTCTGATTCGGAACCGAAGGCAGTGAACGCAACTGCCGCATCCCTCGCCAAGGTGGCTAACGTGTGTTGTTGGCGTTGCTCTGTTCGCTTGTCTTGCTGGTTTTTGCTGAAGTATCATTGAAAGAAGCACAGCCCACCTAAGAACCCTGCCCCTTACACACACAGGTCTTCTCCTCGGCAAGAGGCAAGTAGGCCCAGGTCCCAAGCCATTCTGTTATCAACAGGTATGAAGCTATGGACTGGACCACAAATCCTAGATTCTTGAACCCTAATTTGCCAACTTCCCAGAAACCCTTGTCATTCCCTCAAAGCCCTTACCTTCACACCCTCCTAAACCCCCTTGAGTATGTAAAATACTGTCCTTTTATGGGTTGATGGTCTTGTTTTCAGACATACTTCGGGGCTCCAGGATGTCCTTTGGGGCCGGACGTGAGGTTCAAAGGGCGAGCATGAAAAGATTCGGGTTTGGAGTTTTGGGGGCTCAGGCTTTCAGATTTAGGGCGAAGAGCTTGTGCATAGAGTCTAGGGTTTGTGGGGTTTAGGGTTTAGGGTTTGAAGGTCTTAGAGTTTCAGTGTGATTTAGAGGTGGACGGCAGGGTTCTGAAGCCGTGCATGACCTCGATGAACCCTTAGAAATGCTCCTACATATGATAGCGTCTAGGGTTTAGGGGTTTAGGGTTTAGGGTTTAGCCCGAGTCTACTGCCCAGGACTTGAGAAAAGGCCACCCCGGAAGAGAGGTGATGCGCATTTGGGGTCAGCCGGAGGTGGGCAAGATCTCAGACCACAGGGGTTTAGGGTATACTTGTTGCAGTGCATGTTGCATCTTATGTCCAAGCTTCCATGCATGTTGAATAAGTGTATGTTTATATATATATATATACAAATACTGTATGTCGAGCAGTGTGTCAATATATATATATATATACACACATATGACGGTTTTCTCGCATGTATAGGTATAGAAATTGGGGATTACTCAGAAGTTGAGTGGTTGAGGGATCTCGGAGAGTTAGGCTTCGGCCGCCCTCCGCTTGAACGGACGCCTCGTCAAAGCATGTGCGCCCGCGCGCATGCGGGAGCAAGATAGGACGAGAGAAAAGCGGCGACGGGCGCCCGATGGCTTTTTCTTTTGGCTGTCGAGGGCTTCAGCTCGTTCGGGCTTCGGATTTGTGAGGGTTTTTTGATTGGTTTACTCCTGCAACCCAGGACCCCCCAAGTTCGGTGTCTTTGTGTTGGACCCAAAGAGGGTTTAGGGTTTAGGTTTAGGGTTTAGGGTTTAGAGTTTAGGGTTTAGGGTTTAGTGTTTGGGGGTTTAGGGGTTTAGGGCTCATGGGTGTCCTGTGGCCGTCTAAGGGCTGAGGTCCCTAGGCCCTAAACCTCCCAGGTGTCTTCGGGTTTAGGATTGGCTTAGTGCGCCCTGGCATACAAGCTCCCCAAAACCCGCAACAACGGGAAGGGCACCCTTTGTATTCTGAGGGTGCTGGGCAAGCTACTTAAAGGCTGAGGCTTCCAGTGTTCAGGGTTTTAGGCTCCAGGGTTCAAGGAAGAGTTCAGGTTCAATAAGATTACATATTCCAGGTTGTGTCCCGGATTCGAACCCTTAGCCCGAAACTTGAGGTCAGGGTCGAAGACTTTGACCCAGGAAGTAGGGGCATGCAGGGTGTTGGTTTTTAGGGTTTATAGCCAAGCTCCCGTGCAGCCGTGCTTTGCTCACAACAATTTCAACCATGGCTTTCGTGGAACGGCGCCTTCCTCCCCTGCAGCGGGTGTTCCTCAACCTCGACGCCAAGCCTTCTGCCGCGCAGAGCACCTAGGACCCGGAGTAGGCCCTTATTTCTTGTTTTAGGGTTGGGGTTCCCTAAACCCTAAACCCTTATCCCTAAACCCTGAACCCTAAACCCTAAACCCTAAACCAAAAGGATACCCTTTCTATTCCTAGGTTACTCCTGGGTCCAGGCACACTCCGTCGCTGCCGCAGTTTCTCCGGCTACACGTCCTTGGAGCTCAGCGAGGTCAATGTCGAGCGTGGCTCGAAACCAAGCATCGAATCACTTGGGGAGCAGCAGGGGCCAGAAGCTTAACCTATATCCCCTTGGGAATTCCTGCTTGTTTTTGTTTATTTTAAAACCCAAGAGGATATGAAAAAATAGTATTTTTATTAAGGTTCTAAGGGAGCGTGTATATAGTAGCTGCTGAGCAGGTATCCTTGAACATCCTTGAGGATTGTTGTGTACTAGCAAAAGTCACCTTTCAAACGCTTTGGTAAACGCAGGCAGGAAATTTAAAGAAACCAAATATTACAACAACACATACACGAACTAAACCCTAAACCCTATAGAACCCTAAAAGGAAAGCACCGCAGAAGACCTGCCTTGGCCGGACACGGACGACGAGGAAGCGGTGGCGTGGGTTGAGGCACAATCCGCCGACACCGTGGCTCCGCCAGCCGAAGGTACCACGAGCAAATCTTGGCTCAATTAGTCGGAGTTCTGTTTCGCTGTTTTTTAAAGCCACTCTTGGGAATACGTTAAACTAATCACCCCTTCTATTTCTCATCTAGGTAGCCCAGTGTACCCTCTACTTTATTTTTTGGGTTCCCTTCTAAAGTAACCAACCCCAAAAAGGGTGCCCTTATTGTAAATGGTTACAGTACTGGGCTACCAAGTCATCAATCCCTACACCCCAAACGGACCGAAAGCCTAAACCGTAAACCCTAAACCCTAAAGCCTAAGCCCAGTAGTCGTAGGGGTTGCAGAGGCATCGACGGCCTGTGGCTCACACCACTGGCTCGGTCGGGCGACCACAGCGAAGAAATCCTGGAGCCCTTCCTTGAGGGGTTTGGGACTTAGGGTTTAGGGCGTTTAGGGAGTTCAAGGTTTAGGGTTTAGGGTTTGGGGCGAGGGGGTAGGGGGAGTGCACGGCATATCTACGGCACCGTCACTTGGAGGTTCATGCCACTTATTAACCAATAAGAACTGTACTTATAACCCACTTATCAGCGCCTCAAGTGCCCTAATATGGTTTTAAATAGTATACAGGTATAAGTGCTGTGAGAACAGGTTAATAAGTACCATGAACCTCCAAGAGGACGTGCCAGACTACACAGACTACACGCCGCAGCGTACCACCGGCTTCCAGCAGGGCTTTTGCTTCTCGGCAAGGCCCTTGGTACATTTTATATCTCCACCTTATTGGGTTTTAGAGGATCATATTCAGGAATAACCCTGAACTATAAACCCTAAACCCTAAACTCTTAAACCATATTCAGGAATTTCTTTCAAAGAGTTGTTTTTACGGGCCATCCAAGGCTTCGTGCCGAGTGGCTTCACCTGCTTGCCACACAAGGGCTATGCCAGTGTGAAGTGCGTCAACACCAGCACCGCGCAAGCGTTGCAGACTGCCCGGCGCAATCGGGACATGGTACGCTCGCACGTGCAGGGCTTGCAGATGAACGTGGAGAACAGGTGCGGTTGCCATATGCACCCAGACAAGGTGGCGATGGTGCCTCCACCGGTGTCCTCTACCTTGATGGCAAGGGCGCAACTTAGCAGCTGGATGAGCACACTTTACACTTTTTGGGGATATTATCATCCCCTAAAGAACTGAAAGTGTACACTTTTCTGGGGCTCATGAGCACAGCAACTAAGGCAAACAGACCGCACGATATCCCAGCCATCGCTCCCAAGCACGGGGGAGCAAGTGACGAAAGCCCAGCGTGCAGGCGCCGTGGCCTTGAAGAAGGCGAGGGCCATGATGCCCGCCGTGGATCTTCAGCCGCTCGGATGGTCAGTAGTACCGTTATATTCCCTTTTTTTGGGGGGGTGGATTTAGGTTCCCTTTATCAGCCACTTTAAGCAAAAAAAGGCACCCTTTTTAATCCTAGGCTCTTATTCCCCTTTTGGGGGGGCGGGGGGGGGGGGGGGTTAGGTTCCCTTCTAAACCACTTTAAGCCAAAAAGGGCACCCTTTTTCATCCTGGGTTACTGGGCAACCTAGGCCGACGGTTCCAAACAGTCGATCTCGACACCGGCGCCGTGCCCCAAGGTCCTCAACGCGGCCTGAGAACCGATAACAGGCTTGAGGAGATTACTATAGGGGTCGGAGTACTTACTAGTTGTCTTCCCTTATGGTCCTGTACAGTTATGCTGATGATAATCCCCAAAACCCTATTCTAAGCTATTAAGGCCCCTATATTCGCAGAGCTCGCCATAAAACGGATCGCGTATCCAACCATGCGATATCCAGAGGTGGCCCAATGATTAGCCGCCCGGTGGGAAGATCATGGGTGCTGATATCCGTGTCTGCCGTAACAGAGAGTTCAATCCAAGACCTGAGCTGCTAGACTGATCTAATCGGACTGGCTTTGTTTCTAGTGCCGGGAGTCAGCAGAAGCCCAACTGAATTCAATCAACATGCCCATTCACGGCGGACATGTTGTTGCATGCAAAAGCTAAGCGCAACATCCTTTCAGATCACATCGGTGAGACTACAGGTGATCTCAGAAAGGCACATGAAACTCCAACGAAGTTGGGGGCAATTCGCACTCGACGGCACATGGTGCAGTGCAGACTGCCGTCTGATGAAGGCGGCTTTGACAAGCCGTCAAGAACAGGAGTTGGCCTCAGGTATATTTAGGGTTTTTGGGGCTTAGGCCGGTGAATGCTCACTACTTCTTGTGATTTATGCTCTGGTGCTGTGTTCTTGGCGACGCGTGACAAGTCTACAGGCCACAGGCCTGCTTATGGCTATGCAAAGTGCCACAGCCACAGCCAATCAAAGACAAGATCCAGGTCCTCGTTCATATTGCATCCGGACTTCACAGACTGCATACCTTCAGTCTTGAGCCCTACATTGGATACCTCATGCCCTCCCTTCGGAGGAGTCCTTGGAACTAGGATGCCCAGTACGAGCCTTGTTCCCTTTGCATAGGCTTAGATCCCATATAAACCCGTTTAAGCAACAAAAGGCTCCCTTTCTCGTCTTAACTACTGGGCAACCTAGTGGATGTACCTCCGGGATTGGGGGTGGCATGCCCGTTAAGAACGAGCAGCTATCCTGGAGTCAGGCCTGTCCTGGGATTGATTTCGACACAGTGATGAATATCTGTCGGCGCATGTGAACTTTGTTTAGGGTGCCCAGATCCACCCCAGTATATCACCATGAAGTTGGGGGCAATTCGCACTCGACGGCACATGGTGCAGTGCAGACTGCCGTCTGATGAAGGCGGCTTTGACAAGCCGTCAAGAACAGGTGTTGGCCGCAGGTTTATTTAGGGTTTTGGGGGCTTAGGCCGGTGAATGCTCACTACTTCTTGAGATTTATGCTCTGGTGCTGAGTTCTTGGCGACGCGTGACAAGTCTACAGGCCACAGTCCAGCTTTTGGCTATGCAAAGTGCCACAGCCACAGCCGATCAAAGACAAGATCCAGGTCCTCGTTCATATTGCATCCGAACTTCACAGACTGCATACCTTCAGTCTTAAGCCCTACATTGGATACCTCATGCCCTCCCTTCGGAGGAGTCCTTGGAACTAGGATGCCCAGTACGAGCCTTGTTCCCTTTGCATAGGCTTAGGCTCTTTTTCTCGTCTTAACTACTGGGCAACCTAGTGGATGTACCTCCGGGATTGGGGGTGGCATGCCTGTTAAGAAGGAACGACTATCCTGGAGTCAGGCCTGTCCTGGGGTTGATTTCGACATAGTATTGAATTTCTATAGGCGCATGTGAACTCGGTTTACCCTAAACCCTAAACCCTCAACCCTTTACCCTAAACTCTAAACCTTTACCCTAAACCTAAACCCTGTAAGTGGGTTTCTGGGATGTTGGGGCCTTTGGTCCGATGCATAAGGGCTTTGGTATGGTTGTGGCGATGCAAAGTGCTCCGCCCCCTCACCTGGCTGCTCAAAGGGTTTAGGGTTTAGGATTCAAGGTTGCCATCTTTCGAAGACAGATCCTGCCGTCATTTCGTGCTGACTGCACCCAGGTTTGCAGGCAAACTCCTTCTCATGGGCAAGAGGGTCGAAATACCAGTCTTGAGGCCCTGAAGCGAACATTTAAGGGGTATAAGGAGGCACCCCTAGAGGGGACCCATATATAATCTTATTCGCCTATACAACCCTTATATACATAAGTAGCCCCTAAATAACCCCCAAATCCTAAGCCCTAAGCCCTAAACCCTAACCCTCAACCCTAAACCCTAAACCCTAAACCCTAAACCCTAAACCCTAAACCCTAAACCCTAAACCCTAAACCCTAAACCCTAACGTCCCTTATAAGGGTCCTCCTTGAGTCCCTTGAAAACATGCTCATCTACCGCACCTGCGAAACGCCGAAAAGCGAAGCATGCCGCCGGGGCCCACCACAGATTTCAGGGTTTAGGGTTTAGGGTTTAGGGTTTAGGGTTTAGGGTTTAGGGTTAGGGTTTAGGGTTTAGGGTTTAGGGTTTAGGGTTTAGGGTTTAGGGTTTAGGGTTTAGGGTTTAGGGTTTAGGGTTTAGAGTTTAGGGTTTAGGGTTTAGGGTTTAGGGTTTAGGGGTTCAGGGTTTAGGACTTCTGAGCCCCAATGTACCATGGGCCCAAAGTCTGGTCCCTGACCCTTGTTTATAGGGATCGGAAGTATGGGGTCCGTATCTAAACCCTAAACCCTAAACCCTAAACCCTAAACCCTAAACCCTAAACCCTAAACCCTAAACCCTAAACCCTAAACCCTAAACCGCAAGTAACAAGGGACCCAAATTCAGGGCCCAGACTTGGAAACCTTCATCTAAGGCAACCCCAAAAGGCCCCCGAAACCCCTGACTCTCGCCTTATCACGGGATCCCAAAATCGTGTCCAAGCATACAAGGCTTCCTTAGGGCGGTTTAGGGTTTCGGGTTTAGGGTTTATGGCCAGGGGGTAGTAGGGTTGTGGTAGTATACTAGGTAGGGCATTGGAATCTTCGTCAGTTACAGAGACGCCCCCGTTCCCCACGAGCCAGAAAGGAATAGTCTCAGAGTGCTTCAAGGGCCTTTGTTAGAATGATCCGAAACCCCTAACCCTAAACCCTAAACCCTAAACCCTAAACCCTAAACCCTAAACCCTAAACCCTCAGGTGCTGATCATGACCCTGCCATGCCTCCAGCACTTGCGCTTCTACTTCGGCTACTGGGGTCCGGCCGGCATGTTGTTGCTTGCATGGGTGGGCTTAGGGTTTAGGGTTTAGGGGTCTAGGGGTTTAGGGGTTTAGGGGTTTAGGGGTTTGGGGTTTGGGGTTTGGGGGTCGAGGGTCTAGCAGGTTTAGGTACGTGGTTTGAGGTTGATCGGCTTAAGTATGCGAGCCGTTGTGGACCTTGTAGCTTGTGGATGGGGTTGTTCAGAGAAGAAAAGACATGAGATGATAGCACTGGCCAGTTGGAAAGGTTTAGTGTCACCTAGCACTAGTTGGTTCCCTGCCTTCTAAAACTCTCAACTCCTAAACGATAGTTTAGGTTTAGGGTCTAGTGTTAACCCCTAAACCCAAACCCTGAACCCTGAACCCGATGCTGGGTCAGACTTCTGAAAGCAAACGCCATGGCTTTTGCAGCGAAATTGGCACCTACATACTTGGAGGTTCATTGTACTTGTTCATACTGCACTCAGAGCCATATTAGAGCACTTAAGGGGCTTATCAGAAGGTTAAAAGTACAGTTATAATTGGTTAATCAGCACCATGAACCCCCAAGTAGTAGCGTAGCCGACAACCCCGCCAGCAGCAGCCCCAAAAAACACTTTCCATCCATGAGGCTGCACCACGCTTGGATACACTCAGCCCTGCGTAGTTAAAAAAAAGCAGCCCAAAACCCATAAACAAGCACCATGCTTTAACATACTTTGGGGTTTAGGACCCTTCACCTTAAACCCTAAACCCTAAGCCCTCAACCCTCAACCCTAAACCCTAAACCCTAAACCCTAAACCCTAAACCCTAAACCCTAAACCTAAACCCTAAGCCCTCAACCCTAAACCCTGAAGCCCAAGATCCTCGAAGGAGCACGTAACCATGGACCTAAGGGATCCCTAGAGCCCAAAAGCCTTAGGGTTTAGGGTGTAGGGTTTAGGGTTAGGGTTTAGGGTTTAGGGTTTAGGGTTTAGGGTTTAGGGTTTAGGGTTTAGGGTTTAGGGTTTAGGGTTTAGGGCTTAGGGTTTAGGGTTTAGGGTTTAGGGTAAACCATGAGCTCTAGATCAAGCCCTAGATCCGAAGCTCTGAACCCAACCCTAAACTACCATGAGTCCCAGACGAACCCTGAACCAGAAACTTCTTGTGCCTTCCTAGCTAACCCTAAACCACAAACCCCAAAGCCCTATCTACCTAAGTCCCTAAATCCTCACCCTAAACCCCAAACCCCAAACTCTAAACCCTAAACCCCAAACCCTGAACCCCAAACTCTAAACCCCAAACTGTGACTGTTTGCATAAACCCCAAACTCTAAACCCCAAACCCTGAACCCCCAAACCCTACAAGCCTGCAGCACACTTCGTGAACTCCGCCAAGAGGCAGCAGTCGCTGTTGACTTCTACCAGTCGGCCAGGAAAACCCTAAACCCTAAACCCTATACCCTACACCCTAAACCCTAAACCCAGAACCCTGAACCCTAAACCCTTGCAGCGTGCGATCGCATATCTTCTTCAGATCGACTGGCTCCCAGAGGTTGATCGGGATATGCTCCAAAACGGCGGCCAGGTCGGTCTGGGGCATAAGGGTTTAGGGTTTAGGGTTCGGAATTATTGAAATGTGGCTGTCATAGCTGGCGCACTGACATGTGACTTCAGACGACATTGCCGCATACCTGATGCCCCAGAATGGGACAATTTCCTCGAGCAGATTATCGATTTTGGCATCCCCGCTTCTTTCTGAGAAATCAAGAACCATCTGGAGTATTTCCCCAAATAGGGGTACCCCCCCCCCCCCCCCCCCAAGGGTCCCCCGAATCCCTAAACCCTAAACCCTAAATCCTAAACCCTAAACCCCAATCAAAACCTAATAAGGTACCCATCCCCTAGCCGAGAGCCTGAGAGCCACAACCTCGCAGCCAGGACTCGAGCTTGGCTTGGTCTACGA